GGGATTGGAATGGGCGTTAGGGCGGAAAACGAAGAGGGTTTAGGAATCCAAGGGAGAAGGCGGGCGTGGAGGAGGGGGGGGGGCAATGGAATTCTAGTGTGGTTGAGGAAACAAGAGAGAAAAAAAGGAATGTAGGAGATAAACGGGGGAAGGAGGAGGTGAAAACGTATCGGAAAGAATAGGAAAGTAAGATATGTAAATAAATAATATAATCATTAAATAAGATTTTTTTATATATGAAAGCTAAAGGGGAAATGGATAAAACGAGAGAGAGAGAGAGAAGAGAAGAGAAGAGAAGAGAAGATAAAAGAAAAGAGAAAGAGAGAGGAAAAAGAATATAAGTGAAATACGGGTAACTAAAGTTAAAGGCCAGATTTCTTTACCTCTGCATTGTCCCCGTAGGCTCGACAACCCTTGCCGATACTGGCCTTCAAACTTCTTGAAATTCCTGCAAAGAACGCGCAAAGATAAAGTCAGGGCGTCGTAGTGGTGGCTGGGTCAGAGGATGGGGGGGAGGGGATAGAAAAGAAAATTCACAAAAGGTATGATTTTCTTCCCTCTGTTTGTGGGGCAAGCGGTTATCTGGATTTAATGCATTTTATTACGAGGAAGATTATGAATATCCTTGGATAGAAGAGAAAAACAAATAACAAAGAAAGAGAGGGAAGAAGTAAAAAAAAAAAAAAGAAAAAAAAAAGCAAATCCAGGGATAGAATAAAAGCGAAGAATCGGGAGGAAAAGAAAGAGAAAGAGACACCCACGACCTCCTGCTCCTTGTCTTGAGCTTCTGTCGAGGTCCGGCTTAAGACCCCCCCCCCCTTCCGGACCGCCGTCGCTGCCTCCGCCTTCAAGTCGGAGCGCCTTCCGGAGACATCCTGCGACTGCTACCAGGTGTTCAGCTGCTGTTCTACTCCTCCAAAAGAAATTATTACAAATAAATACGTGAAAATGGATTTAAAAAAAAATTGTATGGCTGTAAGTCATTTTCTCCAAACGTCTTACAAAATATATGAGAATGCCTGATACGTTAGCCAAAAATTATGAGCTGGGGAAATAAAAACGTAAAAAAAAAAACAGAATTACATCCAGTCGGCTGAGCTCCAATCTGACTGCCAAGCCACCGACCAGCAGGTAGGCTTCCGGGCTTCGTCGTACTCCGGAGTGGTTGCACTAGACTCGCTTCTGAGTTAAAACAGAGACGTGAATGTTCAGTTCCAGTTTTATGTGGCCCTAAAGATTTTTTTTTTCCTTTTTCTTGTTTTAACCCTTCCTACCATCGTTTCTGCCTTACGGTCGACGGTCACGATGTTAGGAAATGTTTGTGTTTTTTTGCGGGTGGGGGGGAGGCTGGGGAGGGGAGGGGGCTAGGAGTTATGATAACGACAGTAGATTTAAATACTTACGTCGATTAGATCATCGGAAGAAGATTAAATAGCAACATCTTTTTTCATTGTTGTAAATATAATCTTTTAATCATAAGTTCTGATCCTACAGAAGATAACAAATGTCACCTTGATAACACCCACCCACACATCCGGCTCGACACGAAGATAAGTGTTATCTATGTATCTCCTCTAGCTGCTCTCGAGGCACGAGGACGGGGCTGCCAAAACTCGATCGATTTTTCGGAATCGCAGAGTTGAAGGTCTCACCCCCCAACCCCCCTCCCCCCCTCCACATCGGTCTGGTGGAAATGGAAACCTTCGATCTTTTTCCGCGGTTTGCCAGGTCATCGAAAAACGTAGATTACCTCTTTCCTTATCCTGACTTTTTATAGGTCTCTACCAAAACACACACACACACAAACACACACACACACACACACACAAGCACGCACACACACACACACACACACACACACACACACACACACACACACACACACACACACACACACACACACACACACACACACACACACACACACACACAAATATACATCCACCATATATATTGTTCATATATATGTATTATATTGCAAACGAATCCACTTTTTTGTGGTCGGTCGGTCGGCTGTGACAATTCCAGGCTCGCAAGTGGGTCGGAAACAGCGATTCCCGAGCTGCCATTTGGCCGGAAATTCCACATTTCAATAGAATCATTAGACTGTACCGAGGATGACGAATTGGAAGGAAGGGGAGGAAGGGAATGGAGAGAGAGAATGAGGGATAAGGAAGGAAGGAAGGCAAGGAGGAGAGACGTAGAGAAAGGGAGCAAAAAAAAAGCGAAAGAAAAGGGATGAAGGAAGATGGAAGGGGGGTGGGGGGGAGCGGGGGTACAGGACAAACGACCAAAGAAACGAGAAGCAAGAGAAGAATGCAAATGGAGAAGGGTACACCAAAGAGGACAGACTGAAATATAGGGAAGGAGATGAAAAAGGGGCTTTTGGAATGAAGTCCCTTTCAGAGTCGACGGGCGGTGCAGGGCGTCCAAAGGGAAGTCTGGGATAGACGTAGAGAGCTAGGGGAAGGGGAAAGGGGAGGGGAATAGGGGAAGGGGA